CTTCAGCTTGTAAGTTCTTCCACCAATCCTGACAACTTATTAAAGACAGGGAAGCAAAGTTTCTCCTGGTAAGAGCAAGATTCTATTATTTAATTATTCATTAAACTATTCACATTAATTATTTAATAATCTAATAGCATCCTATATAATTTAATAATTATTAACGATCAATACTATTGCTTTTTATTTATAATAACACAATATTAAATTATCGATATCCATAAATATTATAAATGTTAAATATTACTGACATCGATATTAATGATATTGACTATTATTGGTATTAGCTATTATCGATATTAAATCTTAAGTTAATTATCTATAAACATTTACTAATATTCAATATTATCTACATTCATGATTTCATTTATTTATTCATTTTATTCTGCAAACTTCAAAAGCAGGTTTGTGGTTTTATTAATATTTGCAAAATATATGGGCAGGGGGGTTGGAACTAGATGACCTTTAAGATCCCTTCCAACCCAACCCATTCCATGATTCTATGAAATACTGTAAACTCCTTAACATTTGTCCAGCTTGCAAATATCAATGGTACAAAACCCCCCAGTTATATCATTACTGAATTATAAAAGTTTTATTTTAAAATTACTTAAAAGTACACCTTACCCAGTATTTCTTCCACCCAATTCCATATCGAATTAAAAAATAATATGCATTCTATTTTCTTTGTGTTTCAAGACACAAGGGACCACAAGAATACCCGTATCTTTTAGATCCAGGAGAGAATTCTCATGGTGAACATTTTAATGCAACTACTGATTATTGTTACTGTCAAATCAGATATTCTCTAGACTAATAATATTCACAATTCATGTAGTCCCTGTCGCTGCTGCAATCAAATATTCAAGCACTGGCACAGGTTGCCCAGAGAAGCTGTGGATGTCCCATCCCTGGGAGTGCCCAAGGCCAGGCTGGATGAGGCTTGGAGCAACCTGGTCTAGTGGAAGGTGTCCCTGCCCATGGCAGGGGGGTTGGAACTGGATGGGCTTTAAGGTCCCTTCCAACCCAAACCATTCTGTGATTCTATGATTCCTCCTTGAAGATGTTCCAGTTAAGACCAGAACAGAACTGGTAGGTAATTCTACCAGAAAGATTTCACGACTGCTGTCATCATACTGGGAAAATTATCACTGTTTAGCTGCAATAAAATACGAATTTTTCGAAGACGTTATTTGTTGTTTTTCAGTCAAGATTTGCACACCAGCAGACAACGACCTCCCTCAGCAAACAAATCCAAAGCAGGTTTTGGTGCATTGCTAACAACACGATGTACTAAGCAGGTATTTTTCTCCTGTTTAATCCAGCATACCCGATATTATACAGGAATCCTCACAAAAAAGAGGACAAAATTGAGGTTTCTGCCATGGACAAAAACTTTATAAAAACATAACAGAGTTAAAATACAAAATTCATAGTACATGTCACATTAGTTAGTAGCGGCATTTGAGGTTTCTGGAGACTGAAGAAATTCATAAGGATCGTGAACCATGTCTTGCTGTTCTCCAACACTCAGATGAGAAGGACTTCCTGTAGAATATGCAAAAAAAAAAAAATTCAAAACCTTTAGAAGTACAGAAGAATAATGGAGAGCTATTTATCTATATAAACAGCACGGTTATTTCACACGTTCCTTGCAGACTTTGAAAGTGCAACAGACATTGCAGTGACACTTAAGCAGGAGAGTTTGAAAAAGAAATGACAAGGTTCTTCAGTAATTTGGATCCTTTTTGAAAAAGCAGTCATTAATCTGTTACCTCGAGTTGAAACATTATACAAAAAGTAATTGAGTATCATCCAACCCGCATTTCCTCCCTTCTTGGAAATGGCACCAAATCGTTAAGTGGTACGTTAACCTATCATCCTGTCTTATCACCAAATTTTACAGTTGACAGAATCCCACCTGCTACTTGCTGCACACAACTCTGCCGGAGTAAAACAAACATTATATACTCCTTGGTGTTTCTAGAAGCATAAAATGCAAGTGCATGTAGGGATTTGCCAGTCAGTAGCAATTTACTTCACAATTACTTCAATCATCCCTAGTCAAAAACGAGGTCACTACAATTAGTGTCCTTAATTCCACAGGTCAAAAGCATGTCTTCTTACTTTCCTTCGCCACAAATCCTAACAAATTAAACCACAATCCTGCAGTCAGCACACTGTTCTAGCAGAGTCATTTCATGCAAAGATTTATGTAATTTAAAATGTAAGTTTTAACCAGTTTCATTTAGAGCGGGAGTACCGCAATTTCTGTGACACAGGTAACGTTACCAAGGTGATGCTGGTCTCTCTCAGAGGTATTGGAGAGGGAACTCAAATTAGATGACGGCCGGGATCCCACTCTGTCAGCCTGAGCTTCGTGAAGGTCCTGCAGCAGCTTGGTTGTTTCATCCAGATGTAAATGGTTATCGTCATGATCAAGCTCCTTCTTCACTTTCCCTAAGTTACCAACCAAATCCCACAATTAGCACATGCAGACTGACTTGTGGATTACCAAATCACTATAAAACCAATCTAAAATAAATTATCACCAGTGTTGTCTATAACACAAAAGGCCTCAACCTTACGTTTTACTTTGCACTTCTGAAAGGGAGAGCACCATGGGAAATGGCTGAAACTGAACTGACTCTTAGTAATTCAACAGCTATAAAATCTTAATTAGTCTTCCTCATCTGTTAAACTTCCAACGTGAAATACTGCATTTAGTTTGTAGCAAAGGAGAGGAAGTCAGTAGAAAGATTACTTAGAGATTTAACTTAAAATAGAGTTAAAATAGAACCTGTAATTTATGGAGGAGAAAAAAAACCCATCACAGAAGGTTTTAAGAATAATTATCTTCTCCAACTACACTGATTTTATAGCAAGCCAAATAAAACAGACATTGGAAGGAACTGGAAGTATGTGCCAACATACACTGTTTGTTCATCTGAAGACTTAAAAAAAAAAAAATCTCCGCTTTAAACAGGAAAAGAAACTCTTAGTCTTCAATGCAGACCTTGCTATCTTTGCAAGAATGATGCTAAAAACCAATACCATGAACTGTCTCTGGAAGCAAAGTCATCTAGAAGTAGGATTATTTACTGAAAGATCTAAGAGGAAAAACACAAGCAGCTTTCAGAGCAAGAAAGTCATAGTAAGACTCACGTATCTAAACATTATCTAGAAAACAGGTATTTATTCGTCTCTACTGAACTGCAATAAAACTGGTAAAATCAGATATGATTGAGCTTCACACACTTAAGGGACTTCCCAAGTTATTTCAAGGGACAGCATGTGAAGCAACACATCTATTTCTGAACCAAAGCTGCATGCTAATTCTTAAGATTTACGGTACTAAGAATGCCTAAAACCCAAGCAAAGCTACCAAAATTGTGCAGTAGAAATACTTTGGTTTCTTCGGTGGTACAGTGAAAGTTAACTTAGCTAGCACATGGATGTCTCAAAGGAAAAACAGACCAAGGTTTCATTTACCTTGTACCAGCCCTAGACTTTTACCTCCATCAAATGTAGACTTATTACTGGTTGTTGAACACTTCTTTTACTCCTAGCAAATCCAGTTGTTATTTTGCCTAAATGGCAAAACCATAACTAAACCATAACTGATGGCTTGTATATTTAATTACTTACCTAACGAACTTAACATAGAAATATCAAGAGACACATCTGAATATGGTTTCATCGAGAGAAAATCCAAGTCAGAAGTGCTACTGTCTCCAGCAGATTCCCCAACCTATTGAAACAGAAGAAACAAAGACTAGCCATAGTGACAAGCTGTCATAACAACTTTTTAATGTTTCAGGTAAACGCATGAATTCACATTCTTCAAAGTGTGCACCACAGCACTTAAGCCCGGAGCATCCGTAACCATCTGGGCTAACCTGCAACTCAGGCAGCTCAAATGTGGTTCCATGACAGACCAGCCACAGGAATGGCAAAGGACCTGCAGGGTAGTCTAGAGCGCTTCCATCTCATCATCCAGGACTGCTGAAACCAGCATTACTGAATCCTCCGGGACTCGACCACAGGCCCAAACCATGGCAGAACCCTGGCAGGGGGCAAGCATTATCCATATCCCCCATCACGAACCACTCCCCGATCCCCTTTTCCCCTCACCTTCTCCATGCGACACTGGGTTTATTGAAATGTTTGGGGTGTGGCTAATAAAACCAGAAAGGTGGGCCTGCCTACACGCAGGATCAGCTGCTCTCTCCAGTATTTTTCCTATGTATCTGGATAACGAAATAAAGCCTGCACTGCAATTTCATTTTTTCCATACCTGGTGCAGTACTGCTATGTACTGGCAAAAAATTAGGAGATTACAAGTAGAACTTGTTAAGCTTCAAAAGGCATTCCAACAGAATTCTCTGAGGCTGCCTGTTCCAGAAGCAGGAGTAAGACATGCAGGTAAATACAGAACCAGGTATCTTTCAGAAATACGAAAATAAAACGTAGCACTTTCCTGAATTAACTGAAAACGGTCACCTTCTAGAGAAATACAAACCTTTCCACGAAACAGAAGTAGTGTTTTTTTAAACTATAAATTTTATTAGTGGCTATAAGGTAACCCACATAATTTTTATGTGAGTTACCATGAAATACAGTGCGCATCTTGGGTTGTCACAAATAATGTGAAAGATAAAACCAAAGATTTGATTAGGAGCTGCGAAAGCCTAAGATGCGCATTATTTACCCTACTTTCTAACACATTTTCAATGCATGTGGTAAAACTGAATAAATACTACTGGTTTTTTCCACTTTTGCAGCAGGCTGAACCTCAGATATTCATCAGCAGTATCCATCAAGTATCCTTCCAATTCCTGAGTGGTCCTTCTGCCTCTGAGATGTAGCTACCCGTGCTGAATCAGACTGGAGAATACAGAGCAGGACACACACAAAGCCACCAACTAAAACAGACTGAAGGTCAGAGAAGCTATTTTAAATACAGAAAGCTTCTTCTAGAGACTGTAATTTTAATCTTCTACCTCAGAGCATGCATATCCTTGCACTGAAACAGTATGAACGTCTCCACGATTTTATTTTTTTTAAACACAGAAACCATTTTACCATGATCTGTTTGGAAGAATCCGGACAGGTGTTACGCAGCTTGTGCTCTTCTTTTATGAGAACCGGCAGAACCTGAGGAACAGAATCGTATCTGAGATCTTGGCATCTCATAGCTTACGCTTAGGTTTCCTAACAATACTCTGCTTGTGTGATTTACCCACGTACCACGATCCTAGGCCACCACTACCATGTTTTGTGATGTCTGCAGAGATCCTTTTCAACAAAATAAAAAGGCTAGCTCTTCTCCAACGGGTGACCACACACATTCACGCAGACAATTGGGAACTAACCAGGACAGCCCTGAAGGGCTAACCTAACAGCCTCTTCGTTATCGTTTACTCCACTTACTAAGCTTTTCTGTATTATTATACAGAACAGGCGCACTTGAACTAAAATTGAATGACGGAAGCCCAGAGAATGTCACTTTTGCTACTTTAAATGCCAAGACACTTTTTCCAGTTAGAAAAAAAGACAAAAACCCCACAGCACAACAGATTGAGTATCAGCATAACTTACTTTAACTTCATCCAGTGGTTTTACTGGGATGTTTCGCCTCTGGTAATAAAGAATATTGACAATTACTTCTATGGAACATAAGAGAAAGACCTCTCTCTTGCACAATTTCAAGTATATTCAAACTCCACACACAAAACGATGCTAGAAACAGCTGATTTTTTTCACGTCTGTAATGCAATTACAATGAAACAGATACTGGTTTGAAATATTTCAGTATTAACGACAATCTCCAAGTCCCCTTACACTATTTCTTCTGCCCTTGAACTTTTATATACATCCGCAGTATCTTAGACACTATTTCAGTGACTTCTGATTCCCAATCATTTCAAGGTTGCACACTGAGAGATATTTGTCCTTAAACAGAGCAGCACAAAACACTCACGCAGAAAACACCGTGGCACATCCTCACTGAAACACATTTAATTGCATAAAACCGGTACACATCTACGTACGTCACAACTGACCAGCTAAGTGTAATTAGCCACAGGCCTTCTGAGAGGTATCCGGGAATTCCCACTTGGAACAATATACATCCAACACAGTGGCAAAAAGGGAAAAGCATCTATCTGATTTTAAAGCTAAATTCAATGTGTTGTATACACACAGGTCTAGACATAGAAGAACATTCAAAATATTGTTTTGGAGCTTTCTGAACTTCTGAATTCTTTGAACATTTCTACCTGTTTCACACAGAATCTTTTTGAGGTAGGGACTGGAAAAAACTATCCAGAAAATTCTGAAGCATCCTCTGTATTTTTCATTCCACTGTCTCCTTTTCCCCAAACTTCACTTGCTAGTACTAAGCGCAGAGATTTAGCATAATCTCATTTCTGCCAGGTGAGGAGGTCTGCATACCTTCCATCCCCGCCCCCCTCCCCTTTCTTTGCTCTTGAATGGTTCAGATTTGTCCATTTCATCATTTGTCCAAATGTCATCATTTCAAACAGCAGGTAATAACTTCAAACTAAAAGTGGTTTTCAGGGTGAAGACAACATGAAACAAGATCCTGCAGTTTCCGGTAGTCTATTCTGTCTCAGGAATACAAACATTCCCACTAGAATTACACACGCTTCTGAGAAAAATCCAGTCTTAGTATGAATCTCCTCAGTAAAGTGCTTTTGGAAACAAGTTACAGGTTTCTTTTTCAGACATACTACGTGGACTTAAGAGTTAGCACTAATAGTAGAAGATACCCATACAGCAAGCCAGTCTATTGATCTATTCTCCAACATTATTTCAATGTTCCAAATAATTAATCCTTCCACAAGGAATGCATTTTGCATTTAAATTAAGAAAAAAAATCCTTAACAAAAGTATTGCAGTATAACTCAGAAGCAGGTACATAAGTCACGACATTCAGTCCCTTCTCTTTCTCTCCCTGCTGTGCTCTATCCCTCTGCTTCTTTCTGGAGTCACATAATGTACCACACTGGGGACCACTGGAGAAAAAATGTTTATTTCTCTGCTGACTAATTCAGTTTCTAACTTGCTTCACCACATGGCTGCATCAACAACTAAGACAAAGCATCTCATAAAATACTAAAAACCAGAAACACAGCCATGCTTGTTTTGATAAGCCTGTGACATTTTTGTGCATCAAGGACACACCTGCTTTAGCTGATAAATAGTTTTGGAATGATCTCCACTAGTGATCTGGTCCAGAAGATCATCTACTATTTTCTTGCTGTAGTTTCCAGCGTCCTTCACAAATTCTTGTAAGCTAGTAGGAATGGAGGTAAAAGCATTATAGAAAATGTTTACTTTCATAAAAAATAATCCAACCTGTAACATGGTTTTCCCCATCTGTGCTGCATTCCACCTACATTTTCCTTGTTCTTCTACTCTTTCATACTTCTTCAGAAAAGCAACTGAGGCCTTCAAGATAGAATTGGAGGTTTTTTCCCTTCTCTTTTTAATGGGAGTAAATGTATGTGCAAACGTGTTTTTCACAACTACCAGCGAATTTTCATTTGAACTATCGCTGGCAGTGGATTAAAAAAAAATACACAAAAGAAAAAAGCTTGTGATTAATTATTTCTCTCCAGAATTGACAATTTAAAGAAAAGCAGCATTTTGCTTTTCTAGTAGCTTTGTTTTGAAACTCCTTGAAAAATATCACAAAGTCACTGAAATCTAAACCTACTGGGTTTAAGGAAAATGCTGGACCTTCAGCAACCTATAATCCTGTGGTCAGAGACTCTACTAGCAAGATCCCTAACAGCCTTGAAATAAAACAGGGTAACTTCAGAGCACAAATGGAAAAAAATACAACCCCTCTACCCTACCTGCTCCTCTCCCTTCCCCCAAAAAAACCAACCCACAACAAATCCCACACCAACCAAGATGAAAGCTAGCTTCAAGTTTTATAGTGAGTTATTTTTTAAAAGAAGTTTTTAGAAAAAAAAAAAAAATCAGTATTTGGAGGCTCGCAGTTGACATTTACTCCAAGCTGCTTTTCATCTAACTGCTATGAGAAGTTAGGCTTCCTAGCAAGGAAGAGCTTACCTTAAGGCACACTGTATCCCAGTTTCATCACCATAGGCCGAGTACAGGAGTTCCATTTCATCTGATTTCAGATCATGAAATATAGAGTCGTTTTGCATGGAAGGCGCTGTACTAGCACTGGTAAGAAAGGTTACTAGACAGAAGAAAGAGATGGCAAATGATGAACACAGGTGTAAAAGATCACTTGGGGGGAATAAATTGTTTTCTGAAACAGACAGATAGAGAAAGCACAGTGTGTTTTTTCCTCCAACTGAAATCAAGAGCAGTATCTCAAGGAAACTTCCAGATTCTAGAGTCTGCGCAGCTACTTTAACCATATAAACAAATGTACTTATGCTACAGCAAAACAAAGAGCAAAAGTTAACCACCCCACTCCCACAAAAAAAGATTAATTCCCGCACCCCTTTCATATTTCTGCTTTTTGCATGTGCCTACTTCACTGTTGTTTGCCAGTCAGTTTCTGCAGAGCAGATCAGAAACTTAGAAATGTCAATAATACAAGAAAAAAATCCACAGTTTGTGAAATCCTCATCATATGATATAAAAGTGCAAATGACCACAAGGTTTTTTTCTCCACTCTAAGTACAGTTGCTTAGGAAGAATTATTTCCTCCAGAGAAGACAGAGTACCATTATTAGAAAGTTTCTAGTGTGGCTACACACTAGGGCAAAACATTAAGCCATAAACTTCTAATTAAGTTATGTTTAATAAGCAGAAAAAGTCAATTAAATTAAATCTGCATTCTGCTGTAAATGGAATAATGCCATATTACACAAATAACCAAGTGAACTTTCATTTGGAGAGAGCTATCATCTGCAAGTATTTTATATTAATAAATTGCTCAAATAAGTAACACAAAGTTAAAACATGTTTTTTGGCATTTACCTTTATTTCTTCGATCATCTTTAAAGCCCAGTGTAGTGAAGCCAGGCAATAATTTGCTTGACAGCGAACTCAGATCCACTGGGTGAGTCTCTTCCTCTAATAATTTGATTTAAAAGATGATAATTTTTAGAAAAGCATTTTATGTTTAAAATTTATTTATGGTAAATATTTAGATTTTGCTATTTTGAAAAGCTGCAGTTACCATAAAGGCTAAATAAATGTCATTGAATCTGTACATTTCTACTGAGGACAGGTAGTGTAATTCAGGTTCTCCATTGAAATTTCAAATACATGCTGTAGAAATGTTTCCATCTCTTATTCACAAGATCCGTGACTGGCTTAGTTATTTCACTTTCAAAGTATACAGCAGCATCTGGAGTTCTTTTACTAAATTCTGATGCATAAACAGCCAAGATCCAGGTATCATGAAGTGATAAAAGCAATTTCTTACATTGAATCAGTGTAGTTTGTCTACAGAAACCCAGACACCGTGTAAAGAACCCATTAAGATCGTTCTCATTATGGCTATAGCAATATTTCTTCCTTCTGAAGTTCTGAGAACTGCTGTATTAAAATGGCCCAAACCATTTGGAATATGCTTTTAAACTAAAAAAGAAAAAAAAAATCCCAACAACATTCAGGACACTTCCAGTTCTTTTAAACCTCTCTGGCTGTTCTGGAATCTAATGATAAAAATGCTCAACTGCTGAACAGAAAGCAAGTTTACCCGTAGAACCTTACAAGGATAAAATAACCCCGACACCTACAACAAAAATTCAGATTATACCATTAGCTGCAAGTTCCGTGTAACCAGCATTAATGACACAAACAACCACAAAAGATTCTGGAGCACAACAACATCAGGAGGCAGCGCAGTGCAGTACTTCCCAGCAGGCAGTGAAAGCTTGCTCTGGTCCAGGAACACGACTGTCTAAGTCTTCAGCAGCATGAGTTCAGATGTATTAAATCACACTCATTGGTGTGAGGTTTTCTGGAGGATTTTGGGTTTTTTTTCGGTTTCTTGCTCCCCCCAGAAATAGGTAAGGGCACTGTGGCAGCCAAAAGGGTCAATTTCATTGCAGAAAAAATGAATGAAAAGGAATTTAGACAGTACTAGTTACAGACTTGTACCTTCCAATCAAAACAATCAACAGGAACGTGACTAGCCAAAAAGGGTTCACACATCCATCAGTGCAACAGTAAATAGGTTGCACATGAATTCCAGTCTCAAAAGGTGCAGAGAAGGAAGTGCCAAATCAACAAGACATACAGCAGCATAAAGACTATGACATATCATCCATTACAAACTTTCAAAACTTCTGCATTTTGAGCTCGAAACTGAAATGAGTGGGAAGCAAAAGACAATACTGATAATGTACAGTAGCAACACAAACAAAAATCCAGGGCAAGCATCAAGGAACTAAAGAAAAACAATTAAGCAAACCCTAATCAACCTAAAACTGAAATTCAGCTAGTAATGTAAATTAGGAAACAAAAATAAAGGTAAAAGATGACTCTGTATTTTCATCTCTGCGTTGGATTATCTCTTATGCAGGATTACACCAGCTTCGTTCCCCTTTTGTCTACTAAATGTTAGCACTACAGGCTACTCAGAGCAAAAACCTGTCTTCCCAGTGCTCTCAGAAGTTGTAGCAATGTGTAAGTGCTTATAACTAGGTATTGTTTTACCTTCTTACTGTTATTAGCATCAGGAAAACAGAGCATCCAAAGAGTGAAAATTTGAAAGGCAAAGAAAAACATCTTATTTTGGAGGCACTAAATATAGCTTTTTTCTTCTTTTTTTTAAATCATCGATACTGCACAGGATCTGTGTGTTAGTTAAGACTTCAAAATCTCCCTCAACATTCAACATTAGAAATGTTTGCTTGAAAGAGCATGGCCTTTACCTTCTGCTTCTGGATCAGATGAGTTTACTACACTAAATAATAGAGTTCCACCTCCATTTTTTTTCAGATAACCAATCTGTAAATAGAACCACAAAGATATAGAAGCAATTATTCAAAGTAGTCCAAACTCAAAGAAGGAGCTGCTTAATTACAGAGAAAACTGTACAAAGCATTTTTAGCTGTATTCAGATCCTGAACTCTGGTATTCCCTTTTTAATACAGAGAATCTTGGGTCACAACTATTTATCAAGACCTAGCAAATGAGTCAGAATGGAAGACTTCGGAGTAAAAGTTCGTGTGTCACATGTACAACTCCTTATTGATCTTCCTACATCAGATCTAAAGTTTACATCCAAGACAAAACCAGCTCCATTATAATTAGCATGGAGCCAGGCTTTCTGACTGCCAAGCCTAGAACACACCTTCTTTTTAGCAGCAGAACTGTAACTCCTACTCACAGTCTACCTCACTCTCTATTTTCAAATCTAGACCGAACTGCTTGTTTTCATCTCTCACCCACAACTTTCTCTAATTAAAGCACTTTTATAAACACACCGTTAAGAGGAAGAAGTGCTGTGACAAACCTACCAGAGAGCGCAGAAAGGCTGTAACTACGCAGTACAGGAAAGGAAGACTCTGCTATCCCTAAAGAAATATTAGTAAATGCTACCAAGTAACAATAAATTTCTCTTATTTTGGCCCCCCCCCCGCCCCTTAAAAAGTTTCTAACTCTCTCCATACGTCAGGCCAAAGCTCGTGCTGGCATACAATAAAACCAGAGGGGACAAAGGCTGGAAAGAGATCAAGCAGGAATAATACTTTCAAGTGATGGCCAAAGTCACCACCAGCTGAACTCGAAGAACGTATCACAGTAACCTAGATTCAGTGGGATCTGCAGCAGGTTGTCTACCTGATTAACAGCCTAGGCAGTTAAGAGCTGCACACCCAGAACAACTCTTTCCTGAGCACCACAAAATGGACTGCATCAACATGAAAGGCTTTTTCAGTAAAGTTTGCCATTAGCAGCAGATGGGTATTGCTTTACAGGGTTTTTTAAAAGCCATTCTGACTTCGGAGGTTTCAAACAGCCTTCAATCCTAGCAATTCTTCTAAATATCCAAAGAAACAGAAATATACTGAAGAAAGCTAAACATTCTTCCGCTGTTCTTTGCGGCTCTAGTGCGTAACAAGGGCCACTCTCCCAGAGAGAGACTTTTATATTTGAAGACAGAACTGATACTACTAATGCTTCAAAGCAAACGTTTCTTCTGCAACAGGTGTTAAAAAAATGGGTGGAAAATGCAGGATGTAGTAACATCCCATTTCCCTTTTCAGCTGCAGTGGTCACTAGAGTATGTGACAGAATGAGAAACGAGTACCAAGTATAACAGTGGTAATGAGACTCCACATGATGCAAAGGAAACCAAGTACATGTATCTCAACATAGGCCTGTAGCAAATCCCTTTGGCGTTCACTCCAAGCCTGGCATGAAGTAATGAAGGAATCCACCATTATCCATTACCACATAGCTAAGGAAAACACAGCCCATACACAGATCAGGCTAAGAAAACTGCACTAACAGCATCACTGAGCTTTTCCTTCTAACTCCTGGAACAGCAAAAAATTAAACACATGGAACAGTATCAGAACCGCATTCAAGACAACCAAACCTTGTGGTCAGCACTGTCCAAAATTCCAGCATGGACAAACTACTGCTAAAACTACATGAGAATCCTGACACTGAAAACAGTAATTTAATACTTTAAAAATCCTGAATTCCTTAGGCTGGCCAGGGGGGCGGAATTTTAATAACCCTTCAACCTGTGCCAAAGTTTGCTTTTTCTGACTTTGCACCAAGAAGAGTGAGATGTTATTTTAATCACTCTCAGTGCTAAGGGCTGCAATTAAGGAAGACAGATTCCAGACTGAGTAACGGTTCGGTTTTCTGCAAGTGAGTTTCTGAAGATGTTCAACACAATACAACTTGAGATGCATTTAGGACACCCTACAATGAGCTTCAGTGGGAACGATAGACAACAGCCATATTGGTATGCCACACGGAGCATAAATCCTAGGTGTTGCTCTCAGAAAACATTAATACTAAAGCCTGCCTTCTAAGGTAACACACAGCATTCAATATTCAGACACAAAACGGAATTGTGAACTGTGTTGTGCAGTCAACCTTGCTGTTGGGTAGGTAGCGATTAATCCTATCCCGAGCTTCATCCGCGGCATGTTCCACTAGTGCCAGGACATGTTCTTCAGCAGTGCTATCTGTCAGGCTGCACGCATTCCCCTCAGGTTCAAATATGCAACTAAGAAAGAGAAGAGGAACAGCTGTAGAAATCAAAAGCTAAAACAAAACAAAGGGCTGAATTCTGGGTTTGCTAAATAGAACAATCAGTCCCACTCCTCTCCCAGTGTCGATCTACTTCAGCATTTAAGTGAAATTATAACCGTATTATGAAACTGAAGTTTTGCAGCAGAAGCTGAGAACTACCAAACTACAGAACTTCAAAAATTTAATTGATTCTGTGCCTTGATGAAAATAAAGGAAGTATCACAAAATAGAGAGTGGGAGTAAAATTGCATTAATACAAGGCGAACGCTGTATGCGTGTGTACTTAAGGCTCCCACGTGCCCGAATATGCTTTTTTCACAAATTCCAAATAGAAAGATGCAGATAAGAAATAATAAAATGCAGACTCTGTAATTTTAATCTGGAAAAAAAAAAAACAAACCCCAACCCCAAACCCAACAGGCTGCATTTATGAGGATTATGTCAGTAGCTTGTAAAATAGGACACTGGTCCCAGTCTAATAGGGAGTCCTTTAATTCCCATGTTTGTTAATATAGGCAATTAGTATTCCTAATCAGTATCAATCACACCATTCCTTCTCACTGAAATTACAGAATTTAACATTCATCTTTCAGTAGATCCCTTTTCACTAAAGCACCAAAGCAATACAAAAATAATAATAAGCATACCTAAGATGCAACAGGACATAGCTATTATAAAAAAAATCAGAGAAAGGTGAGGGGAAGTGTGAAGACAGCAGTAGGATATGTCAGTCTTCATTATATTAGACATTTAAAATAAGCTTTGTACATAAAAACTTTCAGGGCATTATATGGACATTAGACACTAGGGCCAAACACCTTAGGTACTGGGTAGAGCATCTCCTCACACCAAATCCATTTCTCTCTCCTGGGGTATCTTCTTCCATTTGCTTAGCTAAGAATTTCTCTCTGTATAGAGATTCAGATCCGATACACAAGAAAGTTTTGCTATTAAAGACAATAAAAACATCACAGGATCATACTATTATGAGACAAATGTGTTATATGATTTTTGTTTCATTGAAAGTTTAAGAAAAGGTGTACACATCAGGAAACTCCTCAACAACCAGCACTTTCTATCACACTTTACTTAATGGACAAGAATTTTGAGAGAATGTTCAGAAGGTTAAAACATCCTGGACAAAATTTTCAAAAACTATTTAGATATTAAGATGCCCAAGTGACCAAGGCACTTTTTAAACTACAGTCTAGAGGTCTAAACTGCTTTAAGACTTCACAAACATTGACTTCAGCTCTTTCCC